GCATGGCATGCAGCGCTGGGGATCGAACCTGGGTGCTTGTACTCGCCAGGCAGGCACTTAGACTGCTGAGCTGTCTCCCTGGCTCAGAAAGAGTTACTCTTTTGCTTTGTGGCATTCGTTTAAAATTTGCTCCCTTTTAATAATAAAAACATTAACCGGATAGGCTGAAAAGAATCTTACTATGTTACTAATTTTATCATCGTGATTACAGAAAATATATTGATATCTGCATTGAGTTGGACTGGATCATTTTTAGAAACTAGTCTTTAAATTAAAAATATATGTAAATGGTAATTTTTTTTTCTGATTATACAAAAAGATACCATGAAAAGTAGGCCTAGTAACTTCCAGGCCCTTCCTCTGATTTAATTAGTTAATTAATTAATTAATTGCTTTTACTTTTTTAGAAATGGCCTATATATCAATAGCTCTATCTATCTATCTATCTATCTATCTATCTATCTATCTATCTATCATCTATCTGCCATCTATCATCCGTCTACCTGCCTGCTTACCTACCTGCCTTTAGTCTGTTTTTTCTAAGCATATGTGCATGAACAACACATTCGGTCCCATCCCTTGTGTGTCCTAGACCGAGGAGGAGCCTGCCCCCGGCACGTTTCTTTCCAGTGGCTCCGTGGCCGTCGCGTGAGTACGAGCAGAGCCTTCTTCCATGAGTCTACCATTAGAATTCATTTAGATTGTTTTTGATCTTTCACCTGGATATTCTCTATACATCTTCTCTTATGTTTTCTGCCTGCTGAATAAAATTGCCAGTGCAGATGCTAACCCAAAAAGCAACCGTAAACGTGAGAATACTGACCTCTCTGAAAGACCAGTGGGGCCAGGGGTCACTTCCCAAGTCAAAATTTATACCTCCGAGACAGATACCAGGGCTCATTTATGCCCTTCTGAGATAGCATACGGGCGCTCACTCTGACGTTATCAAACTTCTCACTTCTCCAATGTCAAAGATGAAAAATGGTTATTTCATTGCTTAGTTTATATTCCTTTCATTTTACCGTACACGGTGTATGGTAAAAGTCACTTGCATGAAATTTCCTGCGGTTTATTTAATCATATTCCTAGTTTTCCTTTTTTAATCATTAATCTTTTCATTCTTATCTATAAAATACAATACAACCTAAGACTTTGTTAGATACCCAAATTATTTTCCCGCTTTCTCTTTTCCTTTGCCTCTGCTAATGTCTTGGGTATGCAGATGTGGGTGAGGGAAGTTTTGCTGATTTCAAAACAATCAGCCTTCTTTTACTTGCTTAGAAAAGTCTTTTCTGTGTTAAGATATGTGCATCTTCTTGTACATTTTCTTTGAGCTCTATTAATGGCTCCATTTTTGGAGCTTACATCTTGATGCATTTTGAACTGATTTTGATAGAGAGTAAGGAAGAAAGTTTAATTTGGAAAGTTTTAATTCTAGATAGTTATTAAATAATTCATTTTTCCTCTTTTGACTTAGGATACCACCTTTATTTAATGCTCGTTCCCTTATAACATAAAATTAAAATCCATATAGATTATTAAGTCCTGACTGTATGTATTCATTCTTTAAAACTATTTTATCTACTGAGGGTCTTGGAGACACTAACTGCTGGCATTGGAATAGTGATGAGACGAGATGGATTTTTCTCTTCCTAGCACTTTAAGTTCAATTTCTATATTAGAAATACACAGATAATAAATGATATATACTTATATGGACTATATGAAGAATGAGTGAGCACGCATGTGTGTGGGTGGTGTTTACTTTATATAAGGATAGGGCTCTTACAGTGACAACATTTAAAGTAGAGATTAAGGGAGCCAGGGAGATAGCTCAGTGGAATAAGTGCTTGCCGGGCAAGCACGAGGTCCTGAGTTCAATCTCTGGTACCACCACACACACACACACACACACACACACACACACACACACACAAAAGGTAGGGATTAAAGGATAAGAAGTTGTCATTTGAAAAGAATGTTCCAGATTGGATGCTACTAGTGTGTACTAAGGGTCAAAATGGGAAAGAATTCTGTGAATTAGAGGAAGACCAAGATGGCGCAGAGCTAAGAGCCTAAATGCTGGGGATACATGTGAACACTTAGAGCAAAATCTCTTGGCCAGGA